AGGTTTTGAGCCCTCATGAAGACAAGCTTTCCCCGCTTGCAGCCAAAGCCGGCTCCGTCAAAATGATTCCAGCGGTTTAATGGTAACATTTTAAGATAGTGTAAATGATACAGAGGAAAACACCTGCGATGGCCGGGAATCTAACCCGGGTCAACTGCTTGGAAGGCAGCTATGCTCACCACCATACCCCCATCGCTTGCTTATGTTCAAACATTGTATGGGAAAAAAGAGACCTATCTAAAGAACAGACACATTTAGAATTGCGCAGGGAGACCCCCAATGGATTCTAGTCTATCGCCCTGACCACTCGCCCACGACAACCTTCGACTTCAGGTTCAGGTTCATGGCTCCCTGGCAAAACAGCAGTCGTCATCGATGGAGGTTTTGAGCCCTCATGAAGACAAGTTCACTGCAGGCCAAAGCGGCTCGTCAATTGATTCAGCGGTAATGGTACATTTTTTGGACTCAGCCTCCCAGCCTAAATAAGCGAATGAAATACCTACTTGGAATGAAACTATGCACACAAGGGGGTCATCACTGGAAAACGGCAATAAGGATCACCAGGCTTCGGACACGGGAAAGGCTTTCCCCCATTGGTATTGGGCACACCTGTCCCCTGACGAAAGACCGACTGGCGGTTTGAACCTAAACACTTTAAGATAGTGTAAGTGATACAGAGTAAAACATTTGCGATGGCCGGGAATCGAACCCGGGTCAACTGCTTGGAAGAGCAGCTATGCTCACCACCATACCACACATCGCTTGCTTATGTTCAAGTATTGGATGTGAAAAACAAGACCTATCTAAAGACAAGACCAATTTGAATTTGCGCGGGGAGACCCCAATGGATTCTAGTCTATCGTCCTGACCCACTCGCCCTCGACAACCCTTCGAAGTCCAGGCTCAGGGTCATGGCTCCCCAAGCAAACCAGCAGGTCGACAGTGATGGAGGTTGAGAGCCCTTCATGAAGACTAATTTCGCTCAAGTCAGCGCCAGCTCATCAATGATTCAGATGTAATGAGTCGTTATTGTGGAATAAGTCTCCCGCCTAAATCAGCGTATTAAACACATACTAAGAACGAATATATAGAGGGGGGTGTACGGGATCATCACTGGAAAATGGCAATAAGGATCACCAGCCTTTCGGCCACGAGAAAGGCTTTCCCACATTGGTATTCGCAAACCTGTCCCTGACGAAAGACCGACTGGCGGTTTGAACCTAAAGACTTTAAGATAGTGTAAGTGATACAGAGTAAAACACCTGCGATGGCCAGGAATCGAACCCGGGTCAACTGCTTGGAAGACAGCTATGCTCACCACTATACCACCATCGCTTGCTTATGTTCAAACTTTGGATGTGAAAAGCGAGACCTATCTAAAGAACAGACCAATTTGGAATTGCGCGGGGAGACCCCAATGGATTCTAGTCTATCGCCCTGACCAATGGCCCTCGACAACCTTCGAGTTCAGATTCAAGTTCATGGACTCCTGCCAAACAGCAGTCGTCATCGATGGAGGTTTTGAGCCCTCATGAAGACATGTTCCGCTGCAGCCAAAGCGTCTCGTCAATTGATCCAGCGGTAATGGGCTTTTCGGACTCAGCCTCCAGCCTAAATAAGCGAATGAAATACCTACTTGGAATGAAACTATGCACACAAGGGGGTCATCACTGGAAAACGGCAATAAGGATCAACAGGCTTCGGAAACGGCTTTTCCCCATTGGTATTCGCAAACCTGTCCCTGACGAAAGACCGACTGGTGGTTTGAACCTAAACACTTTAAGATAGTGTAAGTGATACAGAGGAAAACACATGCGATGGCCGGGAATCGAACCCGGGTCAACTGCTTGGAAGGCAGCTATGCTCACCACTATACCACCATCGCTTGCTTATGTTCAAACATTGGATGGGAAAAACGAGACCTATCTAAAGAACAGATCAATTTGGAATTGCGCGGGGAGACCCCAATGGATTCTAGTCTATCGCCCTGACCACTCGCCCACGACAACCTTCGAGTTCAGGTTCAGGTTCATGGCTCCCTGGCAAAACAGCAGTCGTCATTGATGGAGGTTTTGAGCCCTCATGAAGACAAGTTCGCTGCAGCCAAAGCGACTCGTCAAATGATTCAGCGGTAATGGTACATTTTTTGGAATAAGCCTCCAGCCTAAATAAGCGAATTAAACACCTACTTGGAATGAAACTATGGAGGGGGTCTATGGGGTCATCACTGGAAAATGGCAATAAGGATCACCAGGCTTCGGAGGGCACAAAGGCTTTCCCACATTGGTATTCGCAAACCTGTCCCTGACGAAAGACCGACTGGCGGTTTGAACCTAAAGACTTTAAGATAGTGTAAGTGATACAGAGGAAAACACCTGCGATGGCCGGGAATCGAACTCGGGTCAACTGCTTGGAAGGCAGCTATGCTCACCACTATACCACCATCGCTTGCTTATGTTCCAAATTTGGAAGGGAAAAAAGAGACCTATCTAAAGAACAGACCAATTTGGAATTGCGCAGGGAGACCCCCAATGGATTCTAGTCTATCGCCCTGACCACTCGCCCACGACAACCTTCGACTTCAGGTTCAGGTTCATGGCTCCCTGGCAAAACAGCAGTCGTCATCGATGGAGGTTTTGAGCCCTGATGAAGACAAGTTCGCTGCAGCCAAAGCGACTCGTCAATTGATTCAGCGGTAATGTTACATTTTTTGGACTCAGCCTCCAGCCTAAATAAGCGAATGAAATACCTACTTGGAATGAAACTAAGCACACAAGGGGGTCATCACTGGAAAACGGCAATAAGGATCACCAGGCTTCGGACACGGGAAAGGCTTTCCCCCATTGGTATTGGCAAACCTGTCCCTGACGAAAGACTGACTGGAGGTTTGAACCTAAGCACTTTATGATAGTGTATGTGATACAGAGGAAAACACTGCGATGGCCGGGAATCGAACCCGGGTCCACTGCTGTGATGCATTTATGCTCACCACCATACCCTATCGCTTGCTTATGTTTAAACTGGTATGGGAAAAA